GCGCTACTAAACAAAGCTGTGGATGCAGAATGTTTCTAAAGCAGTCTTCCAACATGTATTCTCCAGCTTCCTGGTAATGCAGAGGCAGCTGTGGTAGAGACAGTGGCTAGATTCTGAGTTCCAGTACCACTGTACCAGCTTTGTAGGTTATTGAGAGGCAGATGTTGTGATGGCTCCTGATTCTTGGATTGTAGCTGTAATCATGATCATGTGTTCTTCACTTAATGAGTGTTAACAGCTTGATAGAACTTGATCCTCTAGACCTCCCAACAATATTCTAACCACTAATTCCCTGTATTAAATTTTTTCCTGTTTATAGCAGATAGAGGGGTTTCTGTTTTCTGCACTAAGATCTATGGCTGATATAGTACTTGTTATCTAGTAGGTCTGACTTAGCAAAAACTGAAATATGTTGCACTGGCTTACCAGATAAGTGGTAGATGGCAAGGTAAACGTATTGCAAACTAAAAGGCTGATGATCCACTATAGCCAAATGGATAAAACTATTGCCATTGTATTGCAATACCTTGGAAAACACGCCCGATAAACTTTTGGCTTTGAAAAAGAAAGCTCTGCCTGTGGCTGGAGATTGAAGTTGACTGAAAGCGGTGTTTGGGGGTAGGGGGCGGGGAGAAAGATAGGATTCTCATGGCTGGAAATGTCGAAAGGCAGAAAATAAGAAGGTGGCTTCTAGCTTTTCCCAAGTCCCTTTCCAAAATAATGGGAACCAGCTGAGCTGTTAAGATCTGATTAAGGGAGATGCCTCTTCACCCAAGCCTCTTATTGCAGATGGTCAGGGCTATTGCCATTAAGTTGAATGAGAGGGAGAAAAGATCCAAAACAGAACCAATAAGTAATCTACAGATTTCAGATTTAAGAACTATGTCTAAATGGGCTCTTTGTGATGGTTACTTGTATATGAAACTGCCTAGAAGCAGACTCACTACATTTCAAGGAACTACACTGCCAAAGAAACCAAAATCCTACAAAAACCTGTAATCATTCGGCCTCTATCTAAAGTGCTCTTAGGCCCAGACCCGCACTGGCAGGAATTGGACTGTGAAAAGTGTGTAACCAAGAAGGATATACTTTAACATCCATTTCATTCAAGGTTCTGAAGCACTAAGAGATAAAGAATAGTCCTCAGCAAAACCAGAGGCCATGGATGAAAATGGACCAGAGTTAATCCTAGAAAACAGAACAGGGGCAGCAAAATAGTTAACCAAGGAAGTTATCTTGCAGGAAGACTTTGCAAGAAATAGATGGATGGCATACTTAAAAGGAGTAACTGAAAGAGTTTAATGTAATGAAATAACCATTTATTTTCAATGCTGTAAGCTGGGCTGAGGCAACCAACAGGGGTAGTGGAAGGCCCAAGGACTAGCAACAGCGAGACGTTATTACCAAAGGCTTAAAGGCCAAGGGAAAGAAGCAGTGTCACCGAAGCTAAAGAAGTCCCCCAACAAGAGTTGTGGTTTTAGGTACAGGAACACAATCACCACCGAATGGTAGCCTGGCAGGGAGACAACGAGGAGGATAAATACCTCTCCAGTACACTCTCTTCTAACCTCTCGCTATAGACTGAATATTTGTGCTCTCCCACAATTCATGTTGAAACCTAATCTCCAATGTGACGGTATTTGAAGGTGGAGCCTATGAGAGGTGACAAGGTCATGTGTTTGGAGCCTGCAAGAACGGAATCAGTCCCTTTAAAAGAGATCCCAGAGAGCTCCCTTACCCTATGCTGATGTGAAGACACAGGGAAAAGACAACCTTCTATAGACCAGGAAGCAGGTCCTCACCAGAATGACCATACTGGCACCCTAACCTTAGATTTTCCAGCCTCTAGAACTGTGACAAATAAATTCTTGTTTATAAGCCACCCAATGTATGATATGTTTGTTATAGCAGCCTGAACAGACTTAGAAACCTTGGATTTGCAGGTCCTTCTCACTGGGTGAAAACAAATGGTATCCACAGGACAACGGAATATAGGTGATGCATTCCATAATGACTAGGGTGGAATTATGGGTCTAGAGGGGCATATGGGAGAAAAATCATCACTAACAATAACATTGATCCTTTACCCAAACACCTGGATATTAAATAAATCATGGGCTAAAGAAGAAATTAAAATGGAAATTACAAAACCGTGACACAAACTCCATTTTAAAACTCATGATATAGCCAATGCAGTACTAACAGGAAAATTTATAACCTTCCACATTATTTTCAGTACTTAAGTCTTTAGCTCAGGAAGCTGGGGGGGAGGGACATTAAAATAAACACATATAAAGCAGAAGAAAGGAAATTATAGAAAGTAGAAAAGTAGAAATTTAAAAATTAAAAAAATTTTAAGCATAAACACATTCAAGTGAACTGATCAAACACAACCAGTAACTAGTTATTTGAAAAATCTATCTGGTAAGTCAATATTGTGTCAAATCCATGTAACATAAACAGAGAGGGCATAAATAAACATAGTAAGATCTAATTAGTGCTATGAAACTAAAAACTGAGGAACTACTAAGAGTACACCAATAATTTTGAAAATGTGGGTAAAAAGCAATTTTCTGAAAAAATTTAATAGCTAACATTTACTGAATGCTTACAATGTTCCAGGCACTCATCTAAGTACTTCCCTTATATTAAATCGTTTAATATTCACAACTGCTCTAAGAGATAGGTACTGCTATTCCTATTTAATATTGAGAAAACTGAAATACAGAGAAGTTAAATAAATTGCTCAAAGTTACATTAACTAATAAATAGTGGAACTGAGGATTCCCTATGTTGTCCAGCTCCAGAGTCTACTTTAACTATACTACATTGCCTTTCAGAATTAAAAAAGAAAAACTATCAAAATATCTCCCAAAATAGAAAACTGAAACTGAGCGATAACCATAAAAGGAATGGAATTGGTGGACCAGCATCCATTCCCCTTATCTCCAGCAATGGCCTAGATAGTTTAAGGACCAATTTAGCTATACCTTCGAGAAACAGGTCATTCCTAAAGAGTAGCAGAATATACCACTCCCAAATATGCCACTTTGGCATATTACTTTGAGCTGTAGGTACTTGAAAAACAGAAAATTCAGAGAGAGGCTTTCACTGAACTTCCCTTATTGCCTTAAGATAGATCTTCCAAAAGGAACTGTCACAAAATACCCTCTCCGGAGTTTCATCAACCAGGGAAGATTGACTGTTATCACAGGAAAGGAGGCCAGAAATCTACCCACCCAGACAAACTTTGTCACAGACTATCACATGTCCCATGTATTCCTCCAAGGGTCCATTCATTCATATTTCCTTAAAATAACGTATTCTCCTCTAAGAGGCTTATAGCTCCCTCACCCCCAATTGAGATAGTATTTAATTTTGAATTCTAAGCCACCTTGGGGAGTTAGAATTTTCCCCTGAGTATTGAAGAAAGATTTATTTGCTGGACCAAACTTTAGCCAGGCTCCAGAACCTTCTTCTCTTAAGCCCATCTGTGTACTTTCTTGCACAGATTAATAAGAATCTTGCTAGATCGTTTTGGCAAGTCTCCCATCCTCCACAACTGATCACCCTCAATATGGGGTTCCTCATCTTCTACTAACCCCCAGATGATGTCTAACCACTCTGGCCTGTCTTCAGCAAGAATCTCTTAATAGTGTCTTTCAATGAACAAAAGCTCTTACCTTTATTATAATTCGATTAAACCTTTTTCTTTTATGCTTAGGGCTTAAAAGAGGTCTAAGGGCATACAGATATTTTCTCTAAAAGCTTTGTTTTACCTTTTGCATTTAGATCTACCATTCATCTGGAACCGATTTTTGTATGGTACCAAATAAAGGTCAATAAATTTCTTTCTCCCACATGGCTGTCCATTTAACCTGGCATTTACTGAACAGACCTTCCATTCCCCATTGAACTACAATGTTGCCTTTGTCATAAAACAGGATATCTTGTATATGTGCCTCTGCTTCTAGATACTCTCTTTTCCATTGTCAATTAGACCATTCTTGTGACAATACTACATTATTTTAATTACCATAACTTTATAATAGGTCTTAGTTAAAAACCCTGAAGCTTTATTTTCCTTCAAGATTGCTTTGGCTATTTCTGGTCAATTGTATTTCTGAATGAATTTTAGAATCAGCCCGTCAATTTCAGTTTTGTTTTGTTTTGTTTTTTTAAAAAAAAACCTACTAAGATTTTGATTGGGATTGCTTTGAATCTATAGATTAATTTGGGGAGACCTGACATCTTTGCAATAAATCTTCCGATACATGAGCATTTTTATTGCTTGCCTTCTAAATGAGTCAGATAGCTTCCCATCCCTTTCCTGAAATAAGATATTTGAGGTACAGTGTATCCAGCAAAGTGTATCATATATATCAAAGTGTATCATATGTAAGAGCTTCTTCAAATCAGTAAGAAAAACAGATAACCCAATAGAAAAATATGCAAAAAAACTTTGAATTGGCTTCACAAAAGTGGACATATGGGTTCATAATCACATAAAGACTCATTTTTTTTTTTTTTTTTTTTATCAGAGAACTGCAAATTAAAGCCAAGAGGAGATATACACCCATCGGAATGATAAAAAGAAAGACTGAAATTAGCAAATGTTGTTGAGGATATAGAGGACCTGGAGACTGCTGGTAGTAGTATAAATTGGTACAATATTTGGAATAACATTTGGCAATATCTACAAAAGGAAAACATATGCATTTCCTATGACTCAGCAATTCCACTTCTAAGTATGTATCCAACAGAAATGTGTTCAACAAACACATATACTAAAAAGTTCACAGTAGCACTACTCACAATAGTCGCAAATTGAAAACTACCCAAAGACCATCACCAGTGGAATGAATTTTAAAAACTGTCATATAATCACATGGAATACTATGGAGAAATAAAAATATTGTCACATGACAATATGGATGAATCTAACAAACAAAACCAGAAAGAAAAAAAAAAAAGCCAGACAAAAAAGAGCATATACAAATGGAATTGCAGTGTCTACACTATAAAAATAGATAAAGCTAATGTAAGTTAGTTATTATAACTCTGAATAGTGGTTATCCTTGGGGTGGAGAGAAGTGACTGAAGGAAAGAAAGAGAGCTGGTGTGCTGGTGATGTTCAATTTCTTGATCTGAGTGCTTGCTACAGGGGTGTGTTCACATGTGAAAATTCATCAATCTGCACATTTATGATTTATGCACTTTTCTCATGAATATTATGTTGCAATAAAAATTAATGCATATGACACAAGGGCAAATGAATCAAATAGCAAGCTGGAAAAAATTTTCTGCAGGTAACATGAAGAAATCATGCAAGACAATTTTTAAGAAGTTAACATCCAATAGAGAAATGGGTAAAAAATAAAAAAAGAAATGCTCAAGCAAGAAAAGTGGCTCCAATAAATGCACAAAATGTAAATTAGAACAATGGAATGCTATTTTTTCCTAGCAAGTTAGCGAAGATTAAAGGAAACTAATGAAACTAATAAGGCTGTTGCTGAGGATCTGGTGAAACTAATACACTTATTCCTAATGAAAACATGAATTGGTATAATCTTTCTACGTAAGTCTTAAAAAAATGTTCGTCCTTTCACCCACTAATTTCCCTTCTAGAAATTATTCTAAGGAAAATTCAGAGTTGCAATTAAAGATGGATTTATGTCAGTGTTGATTACAATAGTATCTCGAAACAATATAATTATCCAATAATGGTAAAATGGTTATGTTATGATACATACACATGATGGGATATTCACTAATTAATAATGTTTTCAAAGAGTAATGAATAGGAAGAGACTCATGATAAATTTAGGTGAAAAACATACGAAATTCTATGCGGTATATCTTTTGTGTTAAAAAAAATCCCATACTTAAAGGTTTATTTGCATAGAAAAATCTGGAAAAACACATACTCTAATGTTAATAGTGGCCATCTTTGGATGCTAGGATAATGGGTAATTTTAATTTTGTGGCTCATTTTCTACAGTTAAGTGTTCTTAGAGTATTTATTACTATTATGTTTAGAAATCTAAAAAATATGGTTAAAAAAATAACATCTGCCCAGATTTCCTTACTCTAGAAATCTAAGCAACCTAGATTTTTGTCTCTCCTTTTGCTCCCACTCTCAATTTGTAACTGTTTTTTCGATTTTACCTGAGAAGTATTTGTGCAAGCCATTACAATATTCCATGACTCCCTCTCTCATTTCCAAAATTCAGGCGCTTGTCTTCCCTAGTGAGCTCCTCGCATCCAGACTTCTCATTTTGGAAAAACAGCCCCTATCTTCCACCACTTCTACACTCTAGCCACATCAAACCACTTTATATAGTGACCCTCCCACACTCAAGCCCCTGAAAAATCCACACCAGGTATTTTTACTCCTCCCAACCTTGGCATACTCTATTCTCTTTGTAATGCATTTTCTTCCTTCTGTCTTCCTAATCCGCTTCATAGTTCAAGATTCACCTCCAATATCATTTACTGGGCGTAGCTTCTCGGAGGCTAACAAAAACAAACAGCGGTTTCCAAATCAATCCTCCAACGACAGTTTGAACATATTTCAACATTTACCATTCTGTGTTGTTTAATGCCTAGCTCTCCCATTGTACGGAATGGGCCATATCTTTTTTAAAAAATCTTAAAATATAGTTGGATGCGTGAATGTAAAACAACATATACTCAAGACACCTATATAGGGGTGGTGAGTTTTCACCTGTGTCTGATAGATAAATGGCAACAAAAACACTCGCCCTCCCCCCTTTTTTTTCCATTCAAGATGGCAGAGAACGTCTTAAAATAGTCCCACACAAAAGCACTCACGCCTTGAGTCGAAGAACTGGCTACACTTAGCGCAAGAGCAAAGGACAAAAGAATTGAACCTAGATGCTGAGATGCCCTGGCCCCTACCACTCACAGTAGTCCCCCCCATCCCGCACATATTTTAAACCTTGTTAGAAAACTGGCACCTGCTGCCTTCATTCCGAAGGCCACGCCTCGATCAGGAACAGGGACCTAAGCACTGGGACCTAATGATCCAAAAAATCAAGGACGAAAAAGGAAGGCTAAGTTGTATTGATGAGTATCCAAAACGCACTGGGTCCCGCCCCAGCCAGGAGCAGTCCCCTGAGAAGCATCGGTCCCCGGGGAAGGAACGGCAGGGCTCTCATCCACTGCCCTGACTGGGAATTCTGGGCCCGCTGGAGGCGGTGTCTGCCGCGGAGAGGGCGTCTCGGGCTACACCTGTCAGGCTGCAGCCAACACTAGGCCTAGAAATCGCCGAGATTCCGTAACCGAGGCTGGCAGGAACGTCACCAGATCCTTCGCCCCGGGATCGGCCCTTCGCCTTGCCTCCTCGCCTTCCCCCTCGTCTCTCTTAAACAAAGGCAATCCACACCCACCGCCATTTTCTCCTTACCTCAAAAACCACCTCTTCGTCAAACTCCGGTGTCATCCTTCTCCGCCATGCCACCCGCCTCAGCACGATGGGAAATGAGGGCGGGGGAACCGGCAGCACCCAGGCTCCGGCTTCTGCAGGTCTCCTGGGTCCAGAAAACTGCAATTCCCAGCATGCCTTGCAGCTCACGCCCCCTTTTCAGACCCACTTATTGGAGCAGAGGATGCGCCTGTGGGAGGGATGGGCGGGAGCGAAATGAAGCTCGAGCCCTCTGATTGGAGGAGGCTGTGGCTTTTGTCCGCCTTTTATGGCTGCGACTGGCAGGGGGCGCCTGGAGCACAGCTTTTTTTGGAGCTCGAGACGGGCACGCGCCGGCGGAGCCGCAGTGAGCACGGCTCGCGCCCGCCGCCTGCGGCTCGCGCCTGGCAACGCCGTGGGGTCCCTGGAGCCCGCCGCATCCTTTGTGCAGCGCTCAGATTGCGCCGGGGGGGGGCCACCGGACGGAATGTGGGCGCTGCGGCGACTTTTCTTTTCTGCCCAAACTCTTGAAACAATGGACTGTAAGGGAAGCACGGATTGAGGGAAGCGACCAGGGAAGCGAGCTGCGTGGGGGAATCATGACTTCTGCCGCCGGTAAGTGACGGCGCTCGCGCTGCCGCCGGAAAGTTGGTAGCGAGCGCAGCTAGTCTCGGGCTCCGGAGCAACTTTCTCCTCTGGGGTGGGTTAGCGGTGTTTCCTCTACCTTTCCCGAGAATTGTGGCAAGTGCGGAGCAGACGGCGTTTGCTGCTGCATTTTCGTGTCCCTTCCTGCCAAAAGAGGCTGTTTGGAAATCGTCTATCTATTGGGACCTGCCTTTAAAAGGAGACCTGTGTTGGGGGCTCTTTGCACCAGGTGAAATTCGAAATATAAAGAGTACGTTTGTCTCTCCTAAAATTTGAGCGACTTTGCCTTTGCATGTGAAAATAGTTTAGATTCCCATGTTAAGAAATCTGTTATTCTAGGAAAGGGCAGTGTTCCCGGAGTGTTTAACTCGGCGACTGTGCTGAGTCGCCTTCAATCTAGTATCGACTGGAAACTCTGACCCTTAATTGCTTAATAGATAAAGAGATTTAAACATTGTTACTCCTATCCTGGTGGTTTTCTCTGTTACCTGAGAAGTAGAGAGTAGTAGCATTGCCGATGGCAGTTTTTTGCTCATCTTCACCTAATATTTTATGGATTTTTTTTCTATTTCTACCTGGTTAGTGTAAACAAAGCCGTATTTTCCGCCTGCCTCTCATAGTCCTTTCCTTTCATCCAAATGACAAAGTCTGTGTTTACCTTTGTGTGGATTTTGAGCAATTCTGGACGTTGTGTTTCTAAACATTTTTAAGGAACAGTTCTTATTTTTTAAAATAAATACTATAAAGTGGTGTTAAATTCACTTTATAAGAACATAAGTTAATTTTTAAACCACAGTTTAATGTGTTAAGTATTAAGATTTTTTCTTTGTTTTGTCCGCATCGAAAGAAACTGCCATTAGAAATTTTATAGTAAAATAGTGTAAAGTTATCTCTCAAAGTTGCTTCTAGAATCAGCACTTAAGTATCAGATTAAATTTTCTTTGCTTTACTTGGCATTTGTTTTAAATTTCTGCAACTTGAAACTGTCAAACAGCACTCTAAATGTTCTGATTTGTACTATTTCTAAAGCCTAGATATATTGGAGTGTTGCATTGCTAGGTGTAATCAGATTACAGCTAACTAGAGAAGAAGTTAGCCAATAGGAATAAGAAAGCTAGGAATGAAATATTCCTGAAAAAAAAAATGTGGATCTTTCCTTTTTGATGTTATATTTATGTATAGGAGATGTTATCATACGACTGTTGAAGTTATGTTATTTATAAACTCTTTTCCTTACCAAAAGGAAGGTTTCTACTTACCCGAAGTGAATTAATTTCATTCTAAATGTCTGTACTTCACCTTTGTTCAAGTTTTCTTTATTGCCGAACTAGTCTTATTTAAGTTTAAAGTGGTTGGAAATTTTTAAATCCTTCCAGCCAATTTTAGCTCTCTCTTCTCTTGGAGTGTCAAACACATTTAAAATATTCATACCTTATATGTATCAGTTTTCGATTCCAGTCCTAACAGTTTATAATGAACAGATACAGAAGCATTTAATTTGACATTTAAATATGTAAACCTGATCTAGGGCTCAGTCTGGAAATTTATGATTCTTTTATTTGAATTACTCTAGAATAATGCAAGCTATTTTTATATTTTATCAACTTTATGATTAAAGAAATCCACAGACATTTTTGTGGTGTTTTAAGAGGGACACTTCCTGTGTTTAGCTGAGTTAGTTGGTTTTTAGCATGGCTTGCTGAGAAGCATTAACTATGTATTTTGTTCACCCATTTGTTAAGATTTATTTTAATTCTTTCTCATGTCTAAATAGAGAATATGTATGACAACTGGGTTTTATTTCATCCTATTCTCATAAAATTATGTTTTCATTATTCTTGCAAGCTGTTTAAGCTCTTTGGGACAATAATCAAATTCATTAAAACTTTAGGAAAATTATTTGCAATTGGGGGAGGGGATGTTTATATGGAATCTAATCTGTGGTATTTGGAATGGCTGTCTTAAATTAAGGAAATAAGAGCAATGTTGTGGAACATCTAAGTTATATGTATGCTGCAGAAGAGCTTGCTTTGTTTTGCTACATCTGTAAAAGAGTTGGCTCATAGTAGAGATTTTAGAATTATTCTAATCAATATTTTTAATAGGAGAGATAACTATAGGTATATATTTTCTCTTTTTGAACTTGTAAGGGTTACTGTCTCAATGCTTGTGCTTTGCTTGTCCAATAGCTAAGAAATTGTGCAGGTGAACCACAGCCATCTGTGTGTAACAGATGACAGTATATTTGTAATAGTAAAATGATTCTGGTTCTTTACTTTCTTACCTTATTTTTCCTTGGAACCAAACAGCTGTGTAAACAAAAGATTTGCTGCTTTGCTCTAAAAAGCTTTGGGTCTGACTGTTGATACAGTATTAAGATCCAAAGGTGTTGGATTCGTTTCCAAACACCATGTACTTATTTCAAGAGTTTGACATTGGAGCAGGCCATAATATAATGGCTTATTATTTTTCGAGTTCTGTTTCTTTCAAAATAAAGCCACGAAAAAATAATGATAATAATAATGAACGATTTCAGATATTGCTCTACCAATGACTTAGTCAAACACCTGTTCCTACTAATAAGGACTTACTCAGTAATCCTGTTGAAGTTGATTCCCGCTAACTTTTCAAAATATTATTCTGCATTAAAATGGACATTGATTTTTTAAAAAAGAAATTTCCGTTACTGAGACATTATTAAATGGTATTTGTTATGTGACAGCTCTTACTATTCCCAGGGCCCTATTTTCACCATTGAGGACATTGCAGTGAAGCTTGCCTTCTTGAGCTAGAGACAAAATTATACCGAAAATAAATCATACAGGGCAAAGGGGCTAGAGAATATAAGGATTCTCCTGAAACAAGTATCTCAGTTATAATCTCAGACTCATACAGGCATTAAGAGTTCTGTTCAGCTCTCTCATTCACAAGTAAGGAAACTGAGGTAGCCACATCTGCACAAGGCACACAATTACCTTAGCCAGCTCTCCAAATTAGTTATTGGCTTCCTCCAGTACATGGTTAACTAGCAATGGTGAATCAGAGTTCACTATTTATTTACTTAATTCAGTGAGTATGCGCTGAGTGCATTAGGTACATAATACTGGGAATCAACCACAGCTCATATGTAGTTAATTGAATTTCTAGTACACTAAAGAGAATAGGGATTTATGTCTGTAGGAAGCAGACTTATGTACAAAACACATTTAAAGAGTAAAATTAGGACCAGAGATTAAAAAACAATTTAAAAAGCAAAAATTGATTGATTAAATGACCTGGAAACTTCTGACAAAACGGCAAGAACCAGAAAGTAAAAGATTAATTTGATGAGCTAGGTTCTTTTTGCTTTTTTTGGTTGTAGTAAAATATACCTGACACATTTATTATCTTTACCATTTTTAAGTTTACAGTTCAGTAGCATTAAGTACATTCACTTTGCTGTGCAGTCAATCTCTGTAACTCTTTTCAACTTGTAAAATGGATTTTTTTAAGTTCCTTAAAAAAATTCCTGAGGGAAGATGCTTTAAGAATGGTTACAGAAATGAAATCAACATGACAGTCTGTCAGTTTCCATTATCTTTAGTAAGATGGGAGGTTGGGAAGAGGCCTAGGGCATTCATATTTTTTTGTAAGACTTAATAGATCATTTATTATACCAAGCTTTATCATTAGGCTTTTAAGTGTTTTACATTTTTTTTTTCCTGCCTAAAGCAAAGCAAAACTAATAACATGCTTATTGGATAGATAACTGAAATGGTAAAGCTTTGGGAATTTGTTATTTTGAAAATATTTCATTATCTTCTTTATTACAACATGCTGAGTGACAAGGCATCTCTTATGTGATCTTGATTAAACACATATTAGGGATTTGGGACATTCTTCCTTGTTTAGTAAAAGGAAGTAGAGCACCCTACTCTTTCTTTTTTTTTTTAACTCAGTTCCATGTAATATCTTCCCCAGTGTTGTGACTAATTTCCTTTGTAGAAAAGAAATTAATCACCAAATGAAGTATCAAAGCCTCTGTGTATTCTAGTAATTATCCAGTACATATTTTGAAAGGTTTATTTTTATTTTTTCAGTAAATTAAGTTTTTATTAAGCATTAGATCCTGTTGGAGGAACAAACATAATTTTTTCATTTAAAGTTTTTTATTTTTATTTATTTTTTTAACGCCTATAGCACCTGGTCTTCCTAGGTGGTCTCCAAGATACATTTTATCTCACGTCTTCTTGGGGAAGTACGACTGGGTGATAGTGACAGTATAAGTGGAAAAACTTAAAAGAACTTTAAAAAACTCTGATGTTCAGGCTCTGTATGTATCTTTTCATTTTATAGGTCTTTCGTGTGAAGCTTTTTTAAGGTTTCTAGGAGCAAGTCTGTACAAGTCTAGCAGGTATCGTAGGTACTCATTAAGTACTTTTTATATAATGTCGAGGAAGAATTGCTACACTAGAAGTTGTCATCTTTTAAATGCACTAGAATGGTGGTGATTA